GCTACTGTCCACAAGGGAGTTCCTCCACGGTTCCCTACATGTTAAAGGGCAGCAGGAAGGTCTGAGCTTATGTGCCCATTTGCAAGAGTTTCTATACCTGCCAATTTTATGAAATTTGTGGAAAATGACATAGAACATAAGACTGATCATTTTAACAATTTTTAAATGTATAGTTCAGAGGTATTAAGCATACCCATGTTGCTGTGTGACTGTCACTACCATCAATCTCCAGAACTTTCTCATCTTCCCAAACTGATATTCTGCCCCCGTTAAACACTGACTCCCCTTTCTCTCCCCCCAGCCCCAGCACCCACCACTCTACTATGTCCCTGAAGTTGAGGATGCTCCAGGTCTCCGCAGGTGACCCAGAGAGTGCTCGTCTCTGGTGTCTCAGCTACTTCATTTAGCATGAAGTCCTCAGGTCCACCCACGCTGTGATGTGTCTCAGAATTCCCTTCCTTTCCAAGGCTGAACAGTATTCCATTTTATGTACAGACCATGTGTTTTTTTATTTTTTTGAGATGGAGTCTTACTTTGTCACCCTCAGTAGAGTGCCTTTGGCATCGTAGCTCACAGTAACTTCCAACTCTTGGGCTCAAGTGATCCTCTTGCCTCTCAAGTAGCTGGGACTATAGGTGCCCACCATATGCTGGGCTATTTTTAGAGATGGGGTCTCACTCTGGTTTAGGCTGGTCTCCAACTCCTGAGCTCAGGAGATCCACCTGCCCCAGCCTCCTGCTAGGATTACAGGCGTGAGCCACGGCACCCAGCCTCAGACCACGTTTTTGTTTATCGACTGATGGACACTTGAGTTGTTTTGCCTCTTGGCCATTGTGACCAGAGCTGCTATGCAGGACAGTGTTGAGTATCTATTTGATACCCCTATAATTCTAAGTAGGTTTTTCTGCAGGATTCTGGTAGAGGTGAACCCAAGAAATTTTCACAACTCTACATAGTCTCATTGTTTTAAATCTCATCAACTTACTCATCTTTTCCTTTTACGAAAAATTTTACCTTTGGCCTGAGAGTGTTCACAGAGGGGTATAAACCATCTGTCTATATCTATTTCCAGGGTGTTTATGCGTCATTGTTATATTTAATTTTAAATTTCAACTGATATTTATTTCAGTATAAGGTGTTAAGGGCACTATGTAAATGTTTCTCCAAATATTAAGCAATCATCCCAATGCCACTGGTTGATAATCAAACTGATATAACCAGTTGATTTGAAATGTGGAATTTACCATGTGTCAAATATATATGTAGTGGGGACTATTTCTAGGCTTTTGACTTTTTTCTCTTCTCTTCTGTTTATGTTTCTATTCTACTTCCAGAACCAGACTATTTAAAGTATTGTACAGGGCCTCTTCCTTATTTTGAAGATTTTTAATTATATTTTTCTAGTGCTTAGTGAATTCCCCTTTCATTCTTCCATGAAAGTTCTAGAGTCATTGCCGATACACACACACACACACACACACACACACACACACAGCAGACATCTGCTTTGGAGAAACCCAGGCGAGTGTACCTGAAGTACGGGTGGTCCTCAAAAAAGGCCTTCTCTCTCTGCAGAGCCTCAGCCAGGCTCAGCTGGTCCTGGATGTCCTGCTGGCCCCGGCACTTGACAATCATGTAGCCCTTCTTCAGGTGGCACACGAGGTTTCGTACCACGTCAACAACCTTATCTTCTGTGCCTTTGTCCACCAGATCAGGCTTTGTCAAGATTCCTGTGAACCAGAGCCTTCTGGTCAGAAATGTTCCCAGGCACAGTGGCAGAGGGGATGAAACTCACACCCCTGGCCACTGGCCTTCCAGGGTTCTCGTCACCCCTGCTGGAGGACAGATGGTGGCTCCTACAGAGCTCAGGGGCCCATGAAGCCCTCGTCCAGGAAGAGAACTGCAGGGCAGGCCGTGGGAAGATGGGTGTCCCCCACCAGCAGCTACAGCAGCTCCCCTGGGCCTCCCCACACAAGTCTGCTGCATAAACAGACCCTTCATCCTCCACAGACATTTGTGTTGTTTCCATCTCACATCATTCTTAGTGGATACAACTGGCTCCTTGATTTCACCCTCCACTCAGGGGCTCACTATCCTTTTTTAAGCGGGTAGGTAAGGGTGACCAGTCAACCTGTGACCAACAGGAGTCGGATGTGGCTCAATTCATCTAGTCTTGGTCGGCCCCTGCAAAGGTAGCAGGTCTTACCTGCTGGATGCGGGTCCCCCAATCCCCATGTATGCCAAGCAATGCCCACCAGACTCAATGGACACTTGCCCAGTCACTGGAAGACCACCTACCATGTTCGGGTCCCCCATTCCTACCTATGGTCCTATCCCCCTCCGGGTCCACCTCCTGAGCCATGCTCAGCGCCTCCGTGGTGGCGATGTCCACGTTACTGGGGACCACCACCAAGTTGATGGTCTCCTGCTTGGTGATGTACTTCTTGATGAGTTTCTTGATCTGTGAGAAAACAGGAGGAGGTGAGCACTGCAGAGGGGATGAAAACCGAAACAGGGCCTGACCTTACACTTGCCTCAGGTCCTAAGAGTCCCGTGAGTATTTCCCCAGAAGAAGTAACTATGGAGGAATGAACCCCAAAACTCAATCCTGGGAGCATCACCCATGGCAGAGTTAAGAGAAACCAAGTTCCCTGTGGCAGAAGCAGGGCTACAGGGGT